TGTTAGTACTATTACTACAAATCATGGTACTAATCACAAGCTATAAAATTAAAATCATTTATTTGTTTTCACTGTTTTTAGAGAAAGCAAGAATGTGTTATATAATTTAAGGATACATTGAATCCATCTGATCCACATCTTTCTTGCTAGTATTTTCTTGGCAACTTCTTCAATCATTTCACCCCTTTCAGTTAGCAGTTTTTGTCTGTACCATCGATTGAACCAGTGACTAAGACAGTGGGCCAGTAACTTATCATGGTAGAACTTATCAGCAAATGCTGTGAAAAGATAGTAAGCAAGTGTAAGTAAACAAAATATATAATAATAATTATCTTTATTGCGTTCGTGTTCCTATTAGGATTTTGAATAAAATGCAATACAGATGTGAATAAAGACAAAACAATTAAAGTGAGAATCAAAATACACACAAGAAAATAAAAAAAAAAAAAATGACAAGCAAACAAAAGTAGAAAAAAAATAATTGTAAAGTAAATTAGATTGTTTTCCATATTTATGTTGATGAATGTAGCTGACTATATTGTTTTCAGTTGTTCCTCTCTTGTTCTCTATGTATATTGCTACCGGTATATATATATGTACCGGTACATGTCATAAAGACTAGCCAGCGCATGTTACCAGCCTTCAAGTCATCATACCTCTCCCCAATCTGATTAAAATTTGATCTAGGTGGCCTTTTATTATTTTTTATTTATTTTAAATATTGTTTTTTGTCTCACAAACAAGATCTTCTATAGAAGTTGTTCAGATAATTTGGCTTTTGTAATTAGAAATTCAAAAAAAATTAATTAAAAAAATTAATAAATAAAAATATGATAAAAAAAAAGAATAGTTAAAAAAAGTAAATATCTAGTCACACTAGTTCAGAAGCCCATCTAGTGAAATAATATACATTTGTCAAAAACTCTGCTGACAGTTCAATAATCTCACCTCTTTCATTGTGTTCAATTCTTCTCTGTACAATGTATTCAATCCAACCTTTATAAAAACATCTTGACACCAATGACCCATTATAAAACTCAACTGCCTTTATCTCTTTCTGTTTATCTTTGTATCGAAGATTAAATTTCTCTCTCCATATTTTCCAGGACTAAAAACAGACACACAAACAGAATTGATTTGGAATTTTCTGATTTATGTAACATTTTAATATATTTTGAAAATGATCAGATTATTTTCTTTAAAATTGATATACTGTATTTCTAGCAGTAGCGCATACGCTTGCATAAATTAAAGGTGTTTCTATAGTAAATAATTCAGTATACCCGGTACAGCCAATGCAATTTTTGGATTATATGTTCTTCTATTGAGAGGCGTTTCTTCGAATCGCATGCTCATACATTGCTATGTGTAGTATGGGACCCACATTGAATGCATAACAACCACTGCTCTCAACCAATCATCACAAGCCAGTGAAATATTTTTAGATCCAGTTTTCTCACCACTTCCTTACTTCCTGTCACTGTATATATTTTAGAACAAAACTAGAGGTGTACCAACTGTCAAACTAAATTCCTCACCTTCAATACCATGGCAGTAGCCCAGTGTTGTAATGCATAGTTTTCCACATCATACTGCATGTATTTCTTATTCAACTGATACCTCCACTCTAGCCAAGTAGATTTTGTTAATGCGTTGGATGCTTTGTTTCGAGCAATGGCGTACAAATCATTCTTCTTTCGTCTTGTGAAGACGTAAGTCCTCCAACTTTCAATTACTCTACCAAGAACCTTCTTATCAGCTGTGGGAAAAAAAACAACAGCTGCATTAATATTAAATGTAAATAAACAAATAAAAGCATATAAAATTATAAGATATATATGCTACGTTTACATGACAGCGTTTTATCACCCAGCGGCTCAAGCCAGCAAAAATTGATGTGTATATATGTTCAGCTCAAGTGGGCTCAAGCCAAGTTCAGCTCTAATAAACCCAATAGACATGGCTCTAATCGTGTATATGCATCAGGCCGAACAATCAGAGCCAAAATCATGCCCTCAATCATCTACTTCAAGTAGCTTCTCATTTTAATTATGGTGGAGACAACGTCGTTTGTAATTTCACGTAATTTCAGGTTTGACGAAGAGGTACACGCCCTAATATCTATTGAGCAGAGTAAAGAAAATTCTATTCTAGCTGCCATGTATCCTGTTTATTCAAGATACGTAAATCATAACACCAGTAAATTGTCTCAGACTCATGACTTTCTTTTTTTCTCCAGGCTCAACAGCATCTTGACATGTGAAGAAACAACAACATAAGCATGACACAAAAGTATTTATACTAAGTATTTGAGGGCACTATTCCTTTAAGCGCTGATTAACTGAATTGAACTCGGCTCTCATTTGGCCCTGACCGTGTAAACGCTTTGGAGATAATCGGTGTTAATCGGTGGGAGAAGCAGTAGTTCGGCTCCAATAGAACGCTGCAGTGTAGCAATAGTGAATTTTTAATCCATGGCCATAACTGTATATTTCAGAATCAAAGATCTCACCGTGCTGGGTTGCAATGTCCTTTTTAGCATTTTTAATCCTCTGGATAATGACAAAGTGTTTCCATGCCAACCAAACTTTTCTCCATGTTGAATACCTGAATGGATTGTAATAAAATAAAGTAGTTCATTCAATTCAAAATAATTGTGTGTTATGTAATTCAATTATTGTATCTAAACGACCAACACTAGTATTTATAACTGTATGCAAGATAATGGCATCATCCCAAACTTAAAGTACACCAGCTGGGCATACTGGATGAGAAAAGATAATCATATGATGTGATATATCAATAGTTCACTACCTGTCATGATATTCTGCTCGAACCATTAGTCTCCATTCTTTTCTTTCAGTCCAATACACACTATACCAACCATGGAATGTCTTCTGTAGTAAGGCACGACTGTAATGATTCCTGCCAGCAGAAATATGGGAACTGTTGTGTAATGTTGACCAAAAATGGAAAATAAAAATGTCCTACTAAATACCCACAGGGACCTTGATGACCCCGTGCCAAATCCAATAAGAATGCTTGGACAAGACCCTATGATTTTCGATATGGGTCAAATGACATGATGTGTACGTCACATGCGAAAAAAAAAACATTGATCTTTTGACAGTTGATTAATGCTCATAGTTCTTTCAACTCTAATAAATATGGGCCCTCATAGTTTGTTTTTTCTCAACAGCATGACATCATAATTTCTGACAGGATTTCTCTGTATTGATTATATGTAAACAATATTGTAATAAATTGTGCATATCCTTTTGTAATCATTTGTTTTTTATTGTGTCGTGAATGAAAATTACACCCAACTTGCTTTGTGAAATAATTTTGTATTGCCCCTCCTATTTCAAGACAAGAAATATGCCCCCAAACATGTCACATGCATGTAGTGAGCAAAAATTGACATTTAGACCATTTTTGAGGGTGTGCTCAGGTAAGCGCCCACCCCTAAAGAAATCATGATTTTTGAATTGAAAACACAAACACGGCAAGTGAGGTAATTCAAACGACACTGCATGACTGTTGTACACAACTGTTATTAAGGGGAATGTGGAACCAAAACAAGACCAGGCTTAACGTATTGTCTGCTAAAGCTGATTTTTCCCTTCATTTTGTTTATCTATGGAGGCTTTCAGCACAGCAAGCAATGTGTTCAATTTCTTTCTCACCTTTATTTCACCATTTTTTATAGGTAAGAGACATCACCGTTATCAAGTGCACAAAACTCAGAGAGACCATGATGAATAATTCCTCATTGCTTCATCTGAATGCCTTGATGCCCTTAAACACAGGCAGATATTTCCATCACAAATTCATTCTTAAAAGTTTTTGCCTTGAAAATTGGTTGCCTTTAGTGAAATGATGTTACTTACCTCACGACTGAAGGTCTAACTCTACCATATGCATTTCTCATCCAAATGTAGAAATATTTTCTGGCAAGGTTCCTGTGAAAATAATGTCAATACAATAGAGTCACACAATACATGCAAGCAATGTGGAAGTCTCCATAATTTTGATCAACAGCTGAGAGGAATATAAAATAAAATTTTGAAATGCACTTTGTAGACTATCATCAAAAAAGAAAATGCTCAGTTATCACTTTTGGTTTTATTTGTAATCAAATAATAGTTAAACACTTGAATTCAAACGAATACCTGATAAACCCATGAAAGCATGACAATTTTATGGAAATTCATGAAATATTTATAAAACATTTAGTTTAATCATTTGCTGATTTTGTGCAATGCTCACAGCAGATGTTCTACACAGGCAGTATGCATCTGCTAAAGTGCTGTAATTGATTAAGCTGTTTTTGAACGTCTTTTGAAATTTATAAACCATTTATATATAATTTATATTAAAAAATATTCATGCCTTCATCACATTGAAGGGCATAAAGCCGGGATTGTTATAAATGTTTTTATAAATATACGTTTAAAAAAAATTAAAATGGATCTTAGAATTCAAATTGACTAATTTAAAAATGCCATTGTGACGTCATCATTAGTTCTAATTAATATTAATGAGTTAGTTTAAAATTGTTAAATTGGCAAGCACTTCATTTTGATGGCATAATGGCTGTAGACAATATTGAGCTCTTAGCCAATCACTATTAAATATTTGAATTTGAATGAAACCTTTTGATCGGAATTTAAAAATTGTTAAAATTATGTTATTTATTAGCTTTCCTTTACTGTTCCAATTATCCAGCAAATATACCTTTCTATTATTCACTGCGTCAATTTCTCATCTCATTTGCAATTTCACCTATTATTTTACCAGTAAAACAAAACTTCTCAAAAACACCAGAATTGTTTTATCATAGGTCTGTTATACATCATAGCAACACACTTACCTAATTCTTAGTTCTTTCAGCCTCCCACCTCTATTCCATTCATAGCCTGGGCGATATGTTGCAGGGCGCTGTTGGCGTCTCCGCTCCCTTGCCAAATGTTTAACACCGGTTGGTTTGGATTGGGGTACATGTGCTGGCTGTTTGAGGCGAAGAACTGGTATTCTTGAGGGTGGGGAGGTGATAGTAATCACCCTGTCTGACCTCATCTCACTTTCTGGGCTGAAAATATTAATTAATTAACTAGTGTTGTTAATTGGTAATAACAACATATTTGCACAGCAATTCCGGATCACAAAGGAAGTGTGTGTCGACTTCTAACAATGACACGTGTTTGAACAGGTTCGATAATGTATAGGTTATTCACATGTATGATGATAACAAAGTTCAAAAAAGTTTACAAGTTAGTTTATGATAAATTAACACAATTCTCACCCTGGGGAAGAAATTAAAAACCGATGATCACTCAGACCTACGCCTCCTGTTTGGCTGTCATCATACACCACACCTTCATCCAAACCAGTCTTTGTTTTCAATTTGATTTTTTCGGCCTTCACACGTAATTGCTCATTTAGTTCCTGTAGTATCGCCTGTTTGGTCTTTGCCCGAAGTTCCCGGTCATCTTTCGCGGCAAATTTATCCGCTTTTGCAGTGGCCTCAACTGCAGATGTATATGGAAGACCGGACTTGAAAATGTTTCTACTCATCGCATTGTCCACAACGTTCATGGGTGATAATTAACGAAATGGGTGACGAAAATATCTCAAGAAACCTGGTGAAACTTGTTCAAAACAAGTTCAGACTGCCGCCATTTTGTTTATTTTGGCACCTTCTATCTTCGTAAAATATCTTAGGATGGCTGCTTTTACAGTACATTTCCAATAATTCAGCACTGATTTTTCAAGTGAATAAATTAAAAATGTATTTTAAACTGTGATAGTTTTTCTTAACAAGTGAAGATTTGTTTGTTTCTGTTATATTTTTGCGAAAAAATAACGCAAGTATTTTATTACATGACGTCATCAGTAATTGGTAGCCCTTACGTTGTTGTCACAACAACAATAAAAATGGCCGATCTTCAGTGAAGACTGTTGATGAAGCGAGCTCAACAGATCAGGCACGTGTTGGTGTATCTTGGTGAACTTGTCTTTTCAATATATCTCTGGGTGAAAACAGAATAACGAGTCCCCGTACCAGTAGGTCACTTGGATTTAGTTAGCGCTGTATTTAAGCGAAACGTCTCCATGAAGCCAGGGGTCACAACGCAGAACGCCGAACCCGAGTCTGTCGCACCTGGTACCAATGCAACCGGAGAGGATGAAAATATGACTGAATTGGACGAAGAATCACTGCAGGAACTTTATGCGTGGATCGACGAAATACCGCTTTCGAGGCCGAAACGAAACATTACACGCGATTTCGCCGATGGAGGTCAGTTTTCTTGTTATACGTGTTGGAAATTGTGTTACAACGATCCGTTCTTGGATTATTGATTTTTTTTATTACAATAGATTGATGAAGCTAACAGGATTAAATGGGTTTATTATTAATAAATCACACTGGAATGTTAGGACTTCCACGCCTATGGTAGTTGTAAAAAACATTATTTTTAATAACTGTGTTTACATGGTGTAATAATATATATTTTATTGCAATCAAATCCACTTTGGCATATTTACTTGAAAGAACAGTAAAGTAGAAATAAATATATACAAAATTAAATACAAATGTAAAATGTGTGTAGTACCCCTGTAAAATAAATCATTTTTCAGCACCATGGTTAAATGTAAATCAATATCTAATACTATGTTTCAAATACTTATTTTATCTAGTCAAGTCTAGTCTACTAGTCTAGTCATTCTATCATGTTTATTTGCTGCCTTTTACAACAGGAGTTCACTATAATCTCAATTTAAAGTTGCACTCTGAGAGCATTTAGGACTATTATTATACTAAATATGTGATAGGCTGAATTTGCACAAATTGGTAGAAATGAAAATGTTGCTTTTCAATTATGTGTTCAAATGCTGACAATTGTCTCGTCTTAATTGTGTGTTTGAATTTCTGAGCTAACACTAGTGTTACAATGAACATGCTTTTACAAAAATTTGTTTCTGATGTGATCAACCACTGGCCGCAGTAATTTGTATCCTGTTGAATCTTTGTTTGTTTTTCTTGAATCCACTCAAATTTAGACTATCAAACATGTCACATAATAGCTGTGGGCTCTATTTAGTTATTTCTGGTACATTTGGTGTCTTTGAAGTTTAATTTTCAGATAGTATTAGTATTTTACTGACATAGAAGGGCTATGGTTCACAACTAACATATTATCGGTCATGATAGTTTTGATGGTGAGAGAAAATAGTGATCTTTTATTGATTTTTAGTTTATGAATCTTTTACACTGATGTTATTTTTTTTGCTCATAGTGATGGCAGCAGAAATAGTTAAACATTTCATTCCGAAGATTGTAGAGATCCACAATTACACACCTGCTAATTCTATGCAGCAGAAGATAAGTAATTGGGGAACTCTCAACAGGTAAGTGTTAAAATGTCATCACTCATCAACCTCTGAAGTGAATATGTGTTTTTTAAATTATAACTTTTTTGGTAAAATTATATACTAGGCTAGAAGGCAATTAATTTGAGTACACACTTTAGGTTTCTAATGTCTCCAACAGACTCAAAAGTGATACATGTATTTTTTTAAATTTGTCACTTTGTTTAGTAAAATTAAATGCACGGTGGTGATAAAGTTAATACACTTTATCTAACTTTGCTTTGAATGTCACACCTAAGTAGGCTATTTAATGTGACAGTTCGTTTCACAGGCTCATCTCACCTTTGTATGTGTCCACAAGAAGTTTTATATTCTGGTTTTCATTCCATTGTCACTTTCACATCAAATAACCTCTTTTGATGAATTGGTTGCACTTGGTAATAAAAGGCTATGAATGTATGAGTTATGTATGTACTTTACCTTGGTGCTACCATACCTTTGTCTGTTGTCATACAATGCATGTAATTTGACAAGTCAGTAGGTCATTCAAATATTGACACTTCTTTAGTAGGGACGCATCGCTATTGTATTCATTTTTAGTGGTCTTTGTATAGATTTCTATTCTATTCTACTTTAATAGAGCATAGCCTGAAAAGTTGACGTAGGTGGCGCCCTGGACTGCTGCGATCCCCACCCACGGGATCGTAGCAATCCAGGGTGTCACCTATGCCAACTTGTCAAGCTACTGAGAGCATTGTACGGTTGACAGGGATGTTGAACTGAATTTAAAAAAAACAAACAGATTTACATACAAGCATACATGTTACATTGCTGGTTGCCATGTTTGGTGTTAATTTCAAGAAATTATGAGTGTCTTGTGGTGTCAATAGTGCGTGTAAATTCATTGTTTCTTTGTTTGTTTACATAAAATTCAACTATCTCAAATTATCAGTTTTATATTACATGTATAACCATTTCTTATTCAAACATTGTTTATTCATATGATTTTTTAATCCAGTGACATGACTGATTATTGATTTTCTATTCTTTCATCCACAGGAAAGTTTTTTCCAAACTTTCGTACAATATACCTGAACAGGTAGTGCGTGGCATTTCAGCTTGTAAACCGGGAGTTGTTGAAGTGGTTTTAGATCAACTCCGAAAGAAGGTTGATATGTATTTATTAACAAAAAAGAAACCAATTGCTGGTGGTCATCATTTTGGAGTGTCCAGACCACTGCCTCAGGTATGAAATTGTTCTATTCAACTATAGTTCATACACTGTTGAAATGTAACTTTTCTATTTTTTAGTTTAGATTCCACAGCAGGATTATAGATGTGCATCCCCTTTGCCATCACTTTATACATGCAGATATTCTCGGATCAACTCTCGGATTGGTATATACATAACAAACAGTGTTTTTAATTAGGAAATAAATGATGATGAACTGTCTATAATTGCGTGTTATAAATCACCGCTATCAGAATTAGAAGTTTTATGACATCATGGCTTCACTTTATCATGTGATAATGTAACATCTATATTTGCTAGTGAATATAAAAAGACTTTAAATTGAACTAAATTTGTTTTATTCTGTGTCTCACCCATTATTGTGCACATCCCCATCCTTGTCATGTTATTTAAACATTAATGAATACCTAACATCGTCATGTTGGATTCAGAGAAAGTTTTAGACGTGATAGTATGCTCGGCTTTGTCTCACACAATACCATGACATATACCCGTCTTCTTATCCAATATGGCACTGTGGGGGATTCATTAATGTTTAAATAACATGGGGATGTTCACAATAATGGGTGCGACACAGTTGATCAAGCTTATTATTTAAGTGAACATCCTTCATTTGAGCCCAGTTATCAAGCAATATGGGCAGTCTACTATTTCATTTATAAATTCCATGGACCAATATAAAAATTAATATACTTGCAGTGGTTTATTGATAATAAAGAAATCAACTTTTAGGTTTTACATGTTGTAGAGATTTCTGTGTTAGTTATGCAGTTAGTTAGTTATTTAATTTTCCAGATAAAAATGACCAGGATGTGAAATATGAAATGGCTTGTTGTTTACCCAATTCATACATTTTTTCCATTCATGTGGTGCATAACTTCTCATTTCTGTATTTTCTAAACAACTGCTTATACTTTTCAATTCGTAATGTTCGAAATCTATGGTAATGTTGTATTATTTTGTAACAGCGCCCTCTATAGCTACACCTCTGAAGTTAAATTTGCTGTACTGTCTATAGTGATTATGACTTCATAATTTTGTTGGAGTTCCAGGAATTTCTTCATGGAGACAAAACGTGAATTAGAATATTTATACTCTTATATTTCTAGATTTCACCCGATGGTTACATGAATGGTCAAGAGGTCGGTAGTTACAGACCAGGAAATGACACCGATAGGTCAGATAGATCAGACAGATTTAAAGGTAACTCTTCCACTTATTTCATTTGTAATGAATATTTATTTGCATATTGCATCAACTTTTCTGAAATGTCTTTGTTGGTAACTAAATCAACGTAGTCATCACACATCGAATTTTGTGTAAACAAACATGTATTGTACATGCTTTGTATACATTGTATGGGACTCATTAAAAAACAAATAATGCGATACAATGTATCATGGGTCTTTAATATCAACTTAGATCACGTTTGTATCATATGTCAATTAATCTCTGGAAGTATATTTTCCATTTTAACCCTTTGTCACCTTTCATTAAATCTGATCTAATTTTTATCTCCACTGTCGACTTTGTTGACAGAGCGGAGCTGTTTATATTACTGATTGACCACCAATGTTCGTCGTCACAACTTTACATTTTTGACTTATTCTTGAGAACGTCAAGTTTGCCTGTTTTGATACTAGGTTTATATCTATCTCCCATGGGTGGACAATGTCTATATCGAATGAGTACGGTACTACTCAACTTGTCGGGGTGTGGATATCAACGTACATTCAGTTTTACTGGCATTTGTATACATATGATTAGCATTAACCCAGTTGAAAATATACATAACTGTAGCCAGTGCGGGATATCTGATATTTCAATTATGGTGTCATTGTTTGTAGGTGCAGGTAGACCGCCCAGACACCATGGTGGTGGTGGTGGTGGTGGTAATACAAGCCACAGGGGTGTGCCAGTGAACCCTTCTTACAGCAATGCTGACAATACAGGATACAATACTGGGTAAGTCAGTGTATGATCGAAGCGCTGCAGTAATATTGAATTCTATTTGACATTTGTATTCTTGCAATATATGTCAATTTTTTTTTCAAACTTTAAATATTTCGCTACTGTTGAAGTCCAATGATTGGGAATTGCATGTTTTTGTGTGTATATGTTTTTTTTTTTTTCAATTTCATGTTTTATGCTTCACTTTCTACAGAGCAAGGACTTATGCAAGGTAATAATAGAGCAACACAGTGTAAATATTATTAACTCATCTCGTGTAAGGCATGCATGGTTTTGGGTATTAATCTTAAACATTGATAACATTAGATTTAATACTGCTCTTTGTTTATAGTAAACATTGAAATCGTTAGACTGACGTGGTGCTCCAAACCCAACACGCACCTGACAGAGTTTTTCACTTCTACGACGATTGTCGATACCAATCAAATTGCAGGAACATCAGATAGTGACAGCCATCAAAGAGTAACCATTCACGGCAGAGTTTATTTGTTTGTTCGTGCGATAAGGTGCTGGCAAATTTCTGCCCAATGTTTATCATCTTTCTGAAAACAGTCTGTGAATTTAAACCTACCACTGTGTCTGGCGGCAAAGCAGATGTACAGGAGAAAATCACACATTGATTACTTGGTTTGGCGAGGTGTACTTCACAAACAGTACATGATCTCTGATTGATCGAGAGTTCCAATGTTGTTTTCATGGGGGTAGTTTTGCTGCTCACGGACTGCAAAAACGGCATGTTTATCAGCACAGTGACTCTTTCTCGTTGCTGTCACGTGTCGTCCACATCTGTAAACACACATTGTTTACTTTCGATATCTAATCCGCTCTCAAGATTTAAATGGTATTTACTTATCAAGTACCCTAATTTCGTGATTGACAGTGTTACCATGACCACCAAAATGAATATTCATTGTAACTCATTGCAAGAAGGCGTGAACTTTGCGAATTCTCAGTATAGATCTTGCCAACGAGACATACATTATTCTGTCAGGTGTTAGTAGGGTCTGATGCTGTTCGACCAACGAGGGCGCCACTCACACCTACATGTCAGTCTATAAAATCATCGGAAAACAACCAGTCATGGAGTCCACTGTGTACTGAGTGACCACAGTGGATAACTGTCTAATCTTATCACATATGTAAACGTGTGAACTATCTTAAAATGTCATTAGTAGTGTTCATGCTATAAGAAGTACAGGCTAAGATTTAAGCTAATCTCATATGTTTGCATTTTAAGCTAATCTCATATGTTTGCATATCGGCTTGAGACAATTACGTTCACACACTGAAAGAAAACAACAGTTAGTACAGGTTGAGGAACACCGAAACTTGTTAAGAATACATAAATCTTTCGTCCTTTTAACTATGATTACTCAGTACAATAGCTAGGAAGGTATACATGTTAGTTCTACAGTTATTAAAAAATACCAAAGCAAACTCAGAAAGTGCAGATTGCAGAAAAACAGAAAGAGTGTCACCGTCAGTTCATTTTTTCTCAAGAACGATGTTCCTAATATAATAGTAAATCTTCAAAATGGACATTGAATATAATGTCATTTTGAGTGCTTAGCCCAGGCACGATTACTAGAAAATGGTTAGGAAACTAGATATGCTAATTATCCATTGACTTCACTTTGATGTGTTTCTAACCACTATAATGTCATCCCTTATATTCATGTGTGTAAGCCAAAAAATTGACATAGAAGCATCGCCAACTTCTCTGCGAATGTTGTCAAGGTTTCGTTGTTCTCGAAAAAATGTAAATACAGATAGTTTGTTTTGTTGACAGATTTGCCATCTGAGAAATTGACCATGGCATTTTGTACCCCAAAAACTCTACGAATGATCTAAAATGATAGTATTCTTTACTACGTTAATGTTTGGGTATTTTAATGTGGAACTGCAATTATCATAACTAATTTCGATCGTAACTTTAGAAAATAACACTTTTTTTTGTTGAGGTTAGTGACGTCAGCCATTTTGTCTGCATTTGTCAGGATAATTCATAATTCAGGATCATTGCTGAAAAATCTGAAGGAATTATATGTTAGTACAATGCATTGTTAAATTAGGATTTATAGTTTACATCGTTTTTTGTAAGTTATTATTGAAAATTTTCATCGTTTCAGTAGGGCGATCATAAGTCTGCATCTGCTGATGTACAACATGGCGACAAGATTTTGTACCCTGAAAATGCATCTCGGAATGTGATAACAATGCTGTAGAAATCAGGAAACTTTTTTAGGAAAAAAACCGGAAAACCCAAATCTATAGAATCATCTTTGACAAATACGTAATTTTATGCAAATTATGATTGTTGCAACGTCGGCAATATGTTAATTCTCTTTGTTTTAAATGTTTACCGAGACACGCATTCTAACAAAAGAACCGAGAGAGTTTCTTAACCTAGTAACTGTGGCAGTAACTCAGACAACCAACCCAAGAGACTGGCAATGCAGCGTTTTCTATTGAAATCATATTAGTAAATGTTGCGGAGTAATGAGATTATCATTAAATCTCAGAACATAACGCGAAATCTATTCATATTCCAACCAACTATCGCGAGATATCGTGAGACATAAACACGGCAAGTGACACACACGACACTAGTGGTCAGTGAACCACAGCAAACTTCGTTATAGGAAAATGCCATTTATGGAAGAATTTGGCGAATCTGAGGACGATAGTTATGACTGGAAAGCTATTTTAGGAGAACATTTTGACGAAGAAAATGTTGCGTACTATGTTTACCGCTAACCAGATTACCCTGGTACGCTGAGAGATATCATGTATATGACACCAGCTATTCCATGTTTCGGTACCCCTGAACACAAAAATAAAACTGACCGAAATGCAGCTATATGCCCTTCTCAAAACAATAAAACCTTCCGCAACAGTGAGAAATATGAGAAATAGTGAGAACAGTGAGAAATATCATTTCAAAGTTGCTCATTATATATTCAAAATTTGTTTGAGGTATGTACTAAGACATTCAGTTACTTGTAACTCACCTAAATGTTGGTCGATTCTTAAAATTCGTACACAGCTGCAAAAGTTAAAATGTCCTGAACGCATCTCCCGTTGTTTTAAAAATGCCTGGATCTGTTTTACAAAGAAATACTCAATTTCTGAAGAAGCACGAATTTTGCAGAATATCCAGTATTCGGTAAACTTCAACGTTGTCTCTGCCAATACAGCTGAGCGAGGCACACATGAGTACTGTTCGTACGATACAGATTTAAGCTGATTTAGGCTTATCTCACATGCAATTTGACTATAGACCCAATTACGTCCACTCATTGCGAGGACCAGTCCTTAGCACGGGCTAAGGGGGGCCATCAGTCGGTGTTCTTTGTTAAGCCACTGTTTACGAATGCCAAATTTCTGCTGCTGACATGTTTCGTTCTAATTTTGAAGCGACGTGCACAGGAACGCGAGAGAAGATGGACCCAATATATTTGGATGCACATAAACAGTATACAACAGTGTAACAGGATGCAGAGTTTTTTTAATGCGTGGCATAGACAGCAAACCAAATTTGTCTAAGATTGAGCTGCTGTACGCTCTACTACAGCGATCCAATCAGTGTGAAAGCGTGTGTGAAGTAATGACTGGTGGGATAGACGAATTTCTTGAAAATCAAAGATGTGCGCATGTCGTTTTGGTGTGTAACATAAATTTGCACGCGTGATATTGTACTTCTGAGTGTGCCAATCAACGTCACAAAAATAAAATTCCCTTCTATCGACTATCAGCCCGACAAAGCAGTATTTTTGTACCCCAGTCTTTCTACTTCCGGGAAAGTTGTCTATAGAGTCGTTATACGAACATGGGACAAAGCAACATTCCTCTTAAACTTCAGATTAGATTAACTAATTAACTGTTCGTCTCTTAGATTTGAACATTTTTTTTCTCCAAATCATGCGTCTTCTAGGTTGTTACGTCTGAGCTGGGTTGCCATTTGGAAATGAGAAAGTTGCATATATTTGATCTCGTGCATAATATTCACACTCAAAGGTCGCCACACTTTGTTAGCTCGTGCTAAGGGTCTGGTCTGCGTCTTAAAATCCGATCAGATTTTACCCATACTTAGCATTCCTTAGCCCATTGTAAGGAACTGTGCATGACTATAGCATATAGAATTAAGCCGATTAACACTGCAATCTGTTTGGGTTTGTTTGTCCATAGAAGGTATTAACGTTAGTACCTTCCATGGTTTGTCTGAGTTGAAATCAACCAGTCATTGAAGTGAACACAGTGGATATTAAACTTTCTAATCTTATCACATATAAAACCATGTAATATTAATATGTCAAATTTGTGTAGCTAATTTTGCCTGTTATTATAACAATTAAATCTAAACATGCTTGCTCAAACTTGTTAACATTAATTCTTAAATAATTACCTAATTTTACAGCCAGCTTCAACCAGCAAAAATGACAACATAAACTGATTCATCTTGATCCTAGTTTGGCTCCAATAAACCATGGAGATCTAAACCCCCCAACAAAGGGTGCTGTTCCAGCTCAGCTCTAACAATAACAATAACTTTCATTTGTAATGCTACTTAAATACAAAGGTGTCGGAATGAATGTAAAATGTTTTAATAAACCTTATTGGTATTTTCAAATAACTAGGAAAAGAGACTTGCATGTCAGATTCAATTGGTAAGAACCTTGACAACAAATTTCTTGGAATTCTCTCTACTGGTATCGGTACTATCGGTGCTTTATCCAGAAAAAAAATGGCCAGGCTAAAAAAAGTTCTTGTTATGCATTTTAAAGCCTCATGGTTTTGATTATTGTGTGTGCTTATATGATCTTTCACATGAGAAACAAGAATTTAGTCATGGTCAGATTGGCAATGGTTATTGGGTTCTGTATCTTAATGGTGATCTTTTATATGGGAGTAATTAGGTTGTGGTGAGAACTGGATGATAACTCAACTCATCTGTCATAGTCTGCATGGTGTACTAATCGCAGTGTGATTACAGCTGTGTTACCGCTCTTGTGTCTCAACCATGGTGCCATGCTTGACAAATTTTCAAACATTCAACTATCTCAGTTTTGGCATATATTTGTGTATATTTCAGGCAAATACCAAGGACAAGGTCACTTCCACATGTCAACGAATCACAATTAAGTCCTGAAATAAGACTTCTATTAGAAGAAAAAGAACAAGCATTATTAGCCTCACAGGAAACAGTACAGGTAGGAGCTGACTTTAAATGTTTATTGTTCTGTCGGTATATTATAGTATGCACTGTTATGTGGTCATGTGGGGTTGTCTTGTCTTTTGAACAACCAATCACTGACTAGTTTTGTACAACAAAATACTGACTAGTTTTGAACAACCAATTACTGACTAGTTTTGAAAAACCAATCACTGACTAGTTTTGAACAACCAATCACTGACTAGTTTTGAGCAAACAACCAATCAATGACATGTGATGAACAACCAATCATTTTAGAGAGGAACTTATCTATTTGATTTCAGATTCTGTTGGATAAGATTTCTCATGAAGGGGTCAATGAGAGGTTTTTCTACAGATGATACGAAATGGGAATTCAACTTTAATTTGTATTCAATTTGTTGCATATTCGTAATTGTCGGTACTTTGATTTCATATACTATGCGCAATCTTCCAAGCAGAATTCTATTTTTACGAATATCTCTCTTCCATCACACGATCTAATGCTCACCACTGATTGGTTGATGCATCACCCTGCAAGTGATTTTCAAACCCGGCGAAAGTACATGCATTGTTTGTAGATTCTGGCTGTTTTGAAAGAGAGAAGCTCATTTTTTACTTTCCGTAACGGTGTAGCAATAGAACGATTTAGTCATCAATACTACTAAGTGCTTTCGTTTGTTTATATTTCTTTGTCTGGCAATCAATAGGACCGTAAGCTTAATGAACCTAGTAACACTTTAGTAACCATTATTCCACAATAAAATTATTTTCTTTTGTAAATTATAACTATTTCATCATTTTCAGTGCGTTTAATAAAAAATTATTATCAGCTATCAATAACATACTTTAAAACTTGTTTACTAGTAAAAAGAAATCAACACTAAACCCCGATAATAACAAAAACATGTCAAGAATACGCGTAGTAAAAGTCTTGTGGCGTTTCACCACAAAATGGCGGTGTATGGTGGCAGAGATAATTTTGGTGTTCTGGCCACAAAGATCTCTGTGAAGGAGAATAATATCATGCCATAATTAAATCATGGCATATAACCATGGACATTCTCGATTGCCCATTGACCAATTCAAGACAGCCATGGTTACAAATCTGAATAAAAATAACACATATTTGGCTGCATAATCAATATTAAATAATTTTGAATACATTGTTTTGCCTTGTAGATTCTCCAGGCAAAGGTTAGAAGACTTGAACATTTGCTGCATTTAAAAGACATTAGAATAGAAGATATATCTAAGAAATTATATCAACGAGATGGGCACGGATATGTCTCGTAATTAGGAGACAAAGGATCAAATTCAACCTGCCCACCCTATAAACAAGAAACAATGGTATCATCTGATATAAAGTAGTACAAGTTAGGACAAGACCATGTAAAAATGTAGGGGTGGATGGATTGAAATTGTCATCAATGACACTATATTTATTGTTGAATAAGAAAGCATTACCTGAATATGTATTTCTGGATTTTTTTGGTATTTTTTTCTTCTAAAAAGCTCTTTCACTGCTGCATAGCGCTCTCTGAAATTTATTATACATGTATTTATGTAAATCTCTCACAAGTTTATTCCACTCATGTATTTGATGAGGCAGAAAATAACTGGAAACTGTTGTCATTTCGTGAACAATAAATTATTCTCACAAATTTCATGAGTCAAAAATTTTTGAATCTTACAACCTTGAATCATCAAAATCAATGAAATGTTTAGCATGAAAATGTAACGATCTGCAGACATTGACCCTCTGAATACCATAATTTTCCCGCCAAAATTTGGATGCCACATTTTTCTGTATTTTTATTTGATTTTTGTTATTTCAGACCACATAGGCAGAATTATCCTTTGACTGCTGATAATGGACAAACTTTTTAAAAAAATATATATAAAAAAAAAATTATGCAAATTTATTTTGTGTTGGTGGTAGAAGCTGGTATTAAAATGGTTGATGTTTCAAATCGTCAAAATGTCAAAGATCTCTACAAACTTTTCAAATCTCATCGCTTGCTTTGCTGATATAATCTGTTGATTTCAAATTTGGTGTTGTATAATAGACTCTCTTTGCAATCATTTTCTAAAATACAGCAACTAAAACATTTGATTTCACAAGTACGGTTGTTTTGTTTCTGAGTTATGCATATAGGGAAATTTATATATATATATATATATCTGAGTTTGTTTTGTTTGGGAAGGAGATATTATGGAATATATTTTCACAAAATTTATATACAATACAAAGTGTATTCTCATATTTTCATGTGTGCTAATTTTGTTGTTATCTTCTTTGGACTATATATTCAGAAATTTTAATACATACAATTGACATTTTATTTTCAATAATTGTACATGACATTTGCATTTGTAAATTATTTGCTGTAAATATCAATACTCACAGTGGTCTTGAACCAAGGAGATTAAAAATTAGTATTACCCTTCTGCTGAAAGTGTTAGGGCGCCCTCATAGGGTTATAAATGTAAATACCTTTGTTTCTTAGAATATCGTTACTCATCAGTAGTAACTATTCCTCGGTGGATGGGACACCATGACAGAATCAGGGACTCCTAAAGTAATTTTAACTTTTGACAATATTTGACCCATGACTTCCTTCCCTATAGCATAAATGATACATGACACAAAATAGTCACCAGTGCAGTATGTATAAAATATTCAAGGTCATTATTTGCTGTAATTCAACCCACTGCTTCTCAACCTTTGGTGTAATTATATCCTTCATAGGTGGACCAACATATAATCTTGCCAAGTGCATGGCTCAGTTCCCTCCATGATAAGTGTCACTTGCAATCCAATTAATCTATGGGAAATGTACACACTAAAAAAAAGTTACAAACTTAAAGAAGGTGATTAATGTTACAATTGACCTTTAACCCTAATGGTGACCTTTGTTTATATTTACCATTCCGTCCTAGTTTGCTGTATGATTGTGAAATAAACACATTTTATTAAAATATATTAATGTTTTATTTGTAATTTTTTTTTATAATGGAGTACTATTCTCACTTTGACTTATTTTCACAGCACAATAAAAACCAGGGAAAACAGTCAATGCACCATGACTTACAATACTGTGTCTGATTGGCTACCCAACCTTAATACTCAACAGTTAAACCAATCAGAGAGCAGCTTGTTTGGTGACAGTATTTTTTTGTCATAGCAAATTCTGCCCTGCTTCGACTAACTAAGAAAACCCCAGCACATCAAGAACAATACCCGTGAATTGGCATACAATTCCTAGACCACCAAATTGAGATTTTCAAATCTCAACTTTGCTGTACTGCAGTGTTCGAGATTGATGCAATTTGTGTATATACTTATGTTTATAGAATTACGTTCATACAGGTTACCGGGTACCGGTATATATCAATTCTCGACACAGACATCCATGCATTTTCACCCCTTGGCAATCGTCACGGTGAAAACAAAGGCCGAAAACTATCAGAAAATGGTACTTTGGAATAGTTGTTGAGATTCCTCTGAACAGTGTAACAAGATTACCCCTGCGTGTGTAACACGTATAAATTTGGTTGTTCAGGATTACTTCTAGGCTCTTCCACAGCAGCTCGCGCAGAGCCCATAGAAATACATGGTACAGTGGTGCATGTCTTAACATGAACAACTTGTGACGTAGCTCCGCCCGAGGATATATGCTCAAGTCGGCCATCATAGATTATATAATCTGCAGTATCAATCAAGCGCATATTGTACAACTCAGCTGCCTCTGTCTGTTTCTACCATGGCAGCTGCATGGGGTAGTTGTTTTTATGATATAATTATTTGATTTAGCTTGTTTATACATATGTTCTAGATGACCAATTAATATGATTGCTTGATTCATCTGTCCACATGTTTTGGGGGATCGATATGATGGATGCTTTTATATAAGTGACTGAACACGTACTGCTAAGATAGAACATAAACCTAGATTATACATTGTGTATAATCCAGTATTTTGTAAGTATTATCTCATTCATTAGTTGCTAGGCAACCAGACTCATTCCCAACAAGTCACCCCACAATGGCATTAGTGATTTCAGTAACCAATTGTACCTACATATTCAACAATTCAAGAAACTTTGTGATCGGTAATAAATAATTATTTGCTTCGACTAAATAAATAATCAGTAGGAATAATGGCTTGAATAATGCAGATGTTTAATTATAAGGATAGTATAGTGTATTTGGTGATCGGGAAATCATGGTTGCTATGACAACACTTTTTTCAATAACTTATGAGATATGGCCACAATTATTTCAATATTTGGTGGAACATGTGCACGTTTATACTATCTATGCAGTATAAGACTAGTGAGAATGTACAGTGAACATGATAAAATAGGCGCTTGGCATGTTGTTGCCTTGTTATTGTAGGTCTCATTGGAACTTCACTCAAACCACTGAACTGTCTAGGTTCTGGTTACTTCATAACCAGACTGAAAACAAAACTCATAAATCACACTTGGCTGTAGATATGTAATCAATGTATCAATCATTTATAAAAAAAAAAAATACAATCATTTCTGTCAGAGTTCTCCAAACACTTATAAAACACCTGCATCCTCAATAAAATTGCATTATTAATCAGTCTCCATATGCTGAACTGCTCCATTTTTATTAGGGGGGGGGGGGGGTCAAATCTTTACTCAACCACAAAAACACTATGTATATAACTACACTGTAAAATAACAGCTATAAAAGTTTTCCTTGGGGTATTATAGAGTAGAGGTCCCTAATTTTATCTAAACAATAATACCAAGTTATCAGAATACAACATAGGTAATTATCATCTTATATTGTTGTTCAAATTAAGAAATTACTCTATGGTATCAGCTGGGGACAACGCTGGCTTTAACCGTGTGTCAAATAGAAATCAATCACATGAGCTTTTATGCAACGATCAAAAGATTGTGGGTATGCAAAGATGCCCACAGACATATTTACTATCACCATGGATTTTATTTAGCACCCAAAGACTATAAATGTTTTATTGCTTCCAGACAGAGTACTACTGCTCTAATGTGAGAAAAAAGAGATAAAAGTTTGTTGGAGTAAAAATTTGTTAATGCGAATGTCCTCTACTATGAGAAGTTTCTGATAGTATTATTAATATTGATATAATAATGAAAAAATCTTTCATTGTTTACAAGTAACAACAATCAACCTTGTTTTAAAGTAACAGATTATAAAGTTTAGTATTCACTACAGAGAGTTAGTTTGCAGAATAGTTACAAAGATTTTTGATATCTGATGAAATGATGATGAGAATAAATGACACCTGGTAGCAGTCCTTTACTACCGGGTAGTAACAGCAATGACACTAACTACTGACTAGAATTGTAATGGTTTTATAGAAATAACAACAAACTGAAGACATGTATAAAAGTTTGTTTTCTCTGAAACTACAAATTATATACAAATAATACATGTTCACTTCATGAGTTGTCAGAAAACGGGTAAAAATCATACTTTTTACATTAAATAATTAACATTTTGTAAAATCTATTCATATTACCCCTAACAGCTAAAAACTCAATCAAATCAAATCTTCACTTTTGATACAGATAATATGTCATGGATAATTACAGTAATTCATGTAAAAGTATGTCACAGTCTTTGGTTTTGTTTATATTTTCCTCTGCTATGTCCAATATACAGTCTATATTTTACCAAGTGTCACTAAGTTCTGTAACCACTGAGTTGTAGCTGGGTCAAATTCATACGCCTGGAAAGTAAAACAGAATTGTACAGTAGTATTAAAAATATATGTTTGTGAAACAAATTGCCCACAGATCTAAACTTGACTCATAATTTTAAAACTCTATTACGGGGACAATGAATGAATGAATGACCTGAACAAACAAATTTATAAGAAAGTGCATATTCACTATGTGCATAGAGTTTATAGCACCA